GAACCTGACCATAGGCTGTGAATCATCCCCTAGTCCTGTCTTCCCAATTTACATTTACAACTACTTCCTTTTAAATCCCCTGTTGTGCTATATCTGCCCTAAAGTGAGAGTGCAGGCTGTCACCTGTTTCCACCCATCATCACTGAGTTTGCTCCTGCTGCGTGCTATTTCTGCCTGTCTTTTGCTGTCTGTCTTGGAAGTCATCACCTTCTTTCAGCTAGTGGGCTGTGAAGTTAATGACGGCAGGAATAAATCACATCGAGAGCACTTTGGTGGCAGTTTGTCAATGCAGGGTCATTGACGGCTTCCATTAGCAACAAGTGCTATTTCTGAGGGGAACACAGGCTGTAGATGCAGTAGGACAGAATCTGAATAAGCGGCAGGCTGGGATTTTAGCCTGATTTCCTAAGCAAAAGAGGCTAGCGTGGTCTTTTTGTGCGTGTCTGTCTGGCTGCCTGCAAAGACATTTGAACGTGTAGGTCAATTTCAACCAAATTTGACAGAAGGGTAGGAGGTCTCAAAGATAATAATTGTTCCTGAAGGTTTCGTGAAAAGAAGTGGCTGAATAGAGGTTAATAGATCAGGACATGTCTCAGCTAAGGGGGAGAACACTGTGTGAACTCACACCTGATTAAACAGCAGAGAATACATGAGAGAGAGAGAGAGAACGAGACAGACAGAGAGAGATTATTAAATGTTCTACCCATAAGAAAACTTTCACAGGGCAAGGAAAAAGCAGTGCTGGAGCCCCCCCGGCGGAACAGCAACAGCCTGCAGCAAATAATCAGCCCTTAGCCTTGTAACCATAAGATATAAATCCATTGGAAATTAGGCCATTAATTCCAATGTTCATAAAACTATTTGCTTTTAATTGTAACAAGTTGCTTGGAAATGCCTGCAGCTGTCAATAACAAAGAACAGGAGAAAGTGTGTTGCCTTTTGCTATAAATAGTGATTGTATAATTGCTAAAAGAGTTTACATGAAATTCTCCTTCATTTTAGCAACTGCAAAGTGACAAGTGATCTGAGCCACATGATTCATTAACTGAACAGTCCTAAATTATCACAAAGTACCAAGTATCACGAAGTGTGCATATGCAGTACTGTACTTATTTGGCCTCCGAAGTCATCCTCTACTCCCTAGGGAGATAAGATCTTTTATTTGTTTTTATATATATTTTTACACCTAAGCTGTAAAATGTCAAAAAAACATTTTGCTAATTCTCTTACTCAAACTCTTCAGGAAAATGTTGCCAAAACTGCTCAATGTTCTGAGGGGTCCAGCTCATAACACCATCAGAATAACTGCAGATTTAAACTCTGTTGGGTGCTACCACTTATCTATAATTGTGGAGAAAGCCCAGCTTCACCATTTAATCCTTTTCCCCAGCAAATTAGACTTATGTTCTTCCTTTGGTCACTGGTCACTTTCCCAAGGGGTATGAGGTAGGACATACGTTCTCTTAACTCCATATAAAGAGTGTATGAGAATGTCAAAAAGCCGTCCTTTGAGCCCAGCACATTTACAGGTAATTATAATATGTGTTTTCTGACTACATGGTCTTGATACAGACAAGTTTTAGCACACGGTTTTAGGGAAAAGAAGCAAAATGGGTGAGAGTCTAGCTTCTCCTCTGGCACTCCTTCATTTATGAATATGGTTCCAGTGACCTTTTGCTCCTAGAAGAAGAGATGAAAGAGGTCAGTGGAACATAAGTGGGAGGAGAAGGGTGAGCTGGGTCATGTCCTTCCTTCCAGTCCCCATCCCACCCCACCCCCCATTCTTCAGGTCTAGCAGGGTGCCACCAGCCACAGTCCCCGTGAGTCCCTTGGCTTCAACCTCACTGCTCCTTCTAGCTAATATAATTCTTCCACTGATGCCAGAAGTACGAGTCTGTATTGCAGTGCTGATGGGAAAAAGGGTCGAACATTCAGGAGATTTGATACAACAACTGTGTTATGCAGGTTTGTTTACAGCTTGCAAAGGTAGGCGCTCTGACCTTAGAAAATGCAAGATTTATAGTGGGTCATACAACAATAACATCTGTGTTGTGCACCTGAGTTAAGATTTTTAACTGCGTGTTCACAAGCCGTTTCTCCATAGGGCTTTTGCCCGATTTGGTACACAGGTTGAATGAACATACGTTTCAAAACAACTGTAAAAACAGTACTTCCAGACTTTAAAGTGTTTGGATTTGCAGCCTCAATTAACTCTGTTTCAAGGTGGTTTTTTTTTCCAGTAAATATAAAGAAATATATAAAATAGGCCTGTGTTTGTGTGCATATATGTGTATGTACACAGCACCATACAGGCTGCTATGGAGAAAATTAACTCCATCCCAGGCAAACCCAGTACGCATACATACAAATATATATTTATATAGCAGCCCTGTATTTGGCACCAGTTATGCCAAATAAAAACAAACAGTGTCAGTCACAGACACACCTGCATTTGAGATTAAAAGTGAGCACAGAAGAAGAAAGAAAAATATAGAAACAATCTTTCTTCACTGCTTTTACTCCCATTTTTGTTTATTTTTTCATCTCAGAGGTGTTCTGTTGTACTTAGCAGTCATTTATTTAGATATGTATTTCGTGTAATACATAAATTTAATTTTCCATGCCACATACATTATTGAGGTTTTTTTAAAAATATGAACCTTGCTAAACATGTAATGCTTTGAATCTGAGAAGAGCAACTGAAGTGGAAATGTCCTTAAAGATGGAATTGGTGAAAGTGGATTTCTTAATCTATCTTCCCCTGCAACTTCAGGAGAAGTGGGAGAAAAAGTGGAAGAATTTACACATGCACACAGTTTTCTTTTAACCTTAACTAGTTTGCCCCTGCTTTCAGGATCATCTTGAATCTGGATTTGAAATTATGTGTGTATGTAAGTAGAACATAGCTATGTGATGGTAGTGGGTTTTGCTAATTTTAATTAGCAAGTTCTAAACTGATGAGAATACAAAGAGTTATCAAGGTCTCCTGCTATTAATAGAAGGAAATGATTAGCAGTGCATGTTTCTCAAATCCCTGGAGTATTTTTTCTGTGAATTGCTTGGTAAGTATCTGTGAATGCTACCAGAAACAGAACTAACCCCTAAATGAAAGTGAAAGAGGAAAATGAATGCATATTAAATGAAGTCAAATAGATTAGTAGTACCGAAAAATACAGATTTATGACAAATACGCCAGTAACAAGTGAGAAAGGTCTCAGCAAAGTGTGGGTGAACTTCAAGAATCATCTGGTTTAGGTAAAATAAGATAGCTGCAGAAATTAACCAGTTATTCTTTGGCTTTGATAAAACATGGCTATTAATTGTTACATGTATTAAGAGACATTCCTACCTTTTGTAACTGACATATCATTGCTGAAAAAAAGCCAACTTGTTTTGGCAAAAGCAAGCTAAAAATCAGCCTTTGTGGTTGCTGAGATACTCTCCATCCAAGGAAAACAGATCCATTTCTTTGCAGGGAATACAAGGAGGTACAGTATGTGACTACATTCGTGACAGGTTCTGAAAATAAAATGCCAGACTTGTTCTAATGACAAGGTTTTGATATATTGTTGCGATGAGGAGGTAATTGTGAGATTGTGAGAGATGGCTACGCCAAAGGAGTAAAGCACAGTGGTCTAGATTATGAAAATTTGACTCGTGTTCTTGAGTGCTTACATGCACACAAACCACTGCACTATTTATACATATTATTTGTCTATGGTCTGCATTGTGGGTATTTTTAGAGAATGGAAAAAATCCTACTTTGTGTAATATCTTACTACAAAAAACGGTTCAATTAGATCCAGCTATAGTTTCCTCCCTAGTCTCAGTTATCCATTGTTATAATCTTTGCTAATGATAGTGAATAATACTTAATAAATGTTTAGATGGCTCTTTTTTTTTTTTTTTTTTTTTTTTGGCCAGTTGGAAGCTTCATGAGATATTCGGGATGCAAGGAAAAGGATGAACTGGATGAGCATAAGGGGACAAGAGTGAAAGCACAGTGGAGCTCCACATTCCCATATTAGGATGGTACCCAAAATCCTTGCTTGACCGTACCATCCAGTACTATTAGAAAGCAGAGAGGGTATCTATATACGTTAGAACTGCCTTCAAACCAACTTTAAAATAGTGGGAAACATTAATTTATGCAATGTGCTCTATGTACTTTCTGTTTTCTTGACCCTAATTGGAGTTCATCTGAGATGCACATGAATAACTTCATTAGCTGGAACTGGGCAATTTTTCTTCTTTTTCTTCACTATCTACAAGTTGTTCTTACTGTGAAGTGTGAGCAAATGTAATGGAAAGGGGAAGCAGACCAGAATATAAATAGGAAATAGGCTGTGAGACAAGGAGAAATTTGCTTTAAATGCACACTTGTGTTAGGTCAGATTCCCTAACCTGTCTTACATGGTACTCACAGGAAACTGCCAGTGGACAAGGTGGAAAAGAAGGTGATATTTTTAAACATCTCTGTTAAAATATGAAAGGTATACTACACACCAACATAATTCCTGCGATAACGAGCTATCTTTTTGTTACTTGCCTATACATGGAGATTAACAATCCGTTAATTGAACAAATCATGATCAGGGGGAGGCTAAGTCAGGGGAAGATCTTGTTAGGTAAACAAACTTATGCCTGTATTACTTTCTAAGCCTGTTTTTCTAAACTAAGCAAGTTTTTAAGGAAGAGGGAAAAAATCATCAAGCTTGCTGGTAAATGGGTACAGAACATCTAGACATGATGTGTTGAAATACAAAGCCTATCTAACATGGACCTGAATTCCTCTAGTGTGCCAACAGACAGATTTCTTCTTATGCTTTGTCTCGTCTTCAGTGCCAGTGACAAGATTTCCCCCCCACTGAAATCTAATTACTAGCAGAACTGGCAGGATTTCAGCTGGTACTGTATCTACAGTGTTGTTAAAAAGGAGAAGGAGGGAGAGAGAAAAAGGACGATTAAGGAATACTTGAAAGAAGATCAAATCGGTTTTGGTCATTAGTGAAGCAACAAAATTAAATATTTCTAATAAGAGGATTACTTAAGCGTCCTAACTGGTGATTTGTTTTACCTTAGGTGTTCAGAAGGCTATTTTGGACAACCTCTGATACCAGGGGGATCGTGCCAGCTATGCCAGTGTAATGACAACCTTGACTTCTCCGTTCCTGGCAGCTGTGACAGCTTGTCTGGTGCTTGCCTGATATGTAAGCCAGGTACAACAGGCCAATACTGTGAGAGGTGTGCTGATGGATATTTTGGCGATGCTCTTCATGCAAGGAACTGTCAACGTAAGTCATGAACTTTTACTGCTCCTGACAGTATTGATCTATCCTATATCCGTGTTCCCGAGAGGAAAACCGTGCCTCTGTATGTGTGAGCAGGAGAATGATACGGTGTACCTGCACCTCTAATAACAATAGTGTTTTGCTTGCGTCTGCATCTGGAGAGGGAGACTTCAAAGTAAATAGAAAGAAGAACCTATTAAAAAACTTCCTGCTGTAGTTGAAGCAGTAATGAAGCAGACATGGAAAAAAACTGGGAGAGTGGAGCATTGCATGGATGCAAAAAGTTAAACTAAATGTCAGACCTACAAAAATAAATACAAATAAATGAAAGCCATTCACTAAAAACGCTATAAGCCATTCAGGGAAACCCTGCTAATTAACGAGATTGGTGCTGAAAGGAGGGAGTGATATTTCAGTTGCTATAGGGTCCAGCTTTGGTACCATTTGTCACCCCCTTCCCACCTACATGACCTTGGTAAGAGTTGGGAGCTGCTGCCTGTTACAGGGCAAGATTCCCCCACCTCCTGCAAAGCAGAGTCTAAAATCTCCTGACAGATGTTCTAAGGTGCTCTGGAGGAAGATACCTGGCACTGCAGCAAGCTACCACTTCTCAGCTGAGTGGCGGCATGTTTAAATAAAAACCCCGGCTCATACTTCCCCATAGTGACTGCAAGAAATTACTGAGAGCAGCTGGAAAATTTGGTAGGAGCAGGAGCTTTTGCTTTTGTAGGAGGCAGTGGCTCTCTTTGAGCCATTGCTGGCACAACTCTGAGTGCAGCTATTATGCAGAACAAGTGCTTTTAACTTAAAAACATTCTTCACATACCCTTCCTCCCCATTCTGAGGAATGGAATACAACAAGTTGTAAACTGTCCTGAAAGAGCTGAGTATTTTATTTCACTGTCACAAGGATTTAATCCTTTTCTTTCTTTGGAATAAATGCAGACCAACTCCATTCGGTACACAGGTGTTATAACAGGATAAAATTATGCAAGTAAATGAGCTGGGCCATTGTCTTACTGCTGTGTGCATAGGAACACAGGGACCACTTCTGCAGTATGTGTTGCAAGCGCAGAAGTCTGAGCCACTGGCATCCATTTCTAGGATTTGCTCAATTAGCGGCTTGCAGTTTGACAGTGAGAATACAAATTTCCGTTGGACCACCTAAGACTGCCTGGGAGCCAGTGAGATGCAGAACATCACCAGGTTTCTCAGCTAAGGCTAATAAACCCTGATATACGTAAAATCATAGGTAGCCGTGAAGAGATATACATGTGTAAATGCTCTCTGTACCTGCTCTATACAATGCTGGATAAAAGTTGAATGATCACATATATTCTCTGCATGACTTAACAGTTCATGATCAATGATGTCATATAAGTTAGGGTGTTAAGTGTGTAACGTGATTTAAAAAGAGTGCATTTAAAAAAAAAATAGCTTCCAGTAGCTTGTCACTGTTCCTGAGGCATCAAGAGGACTGTTGCTTTGAACATTTCTGCAGTAGTGGCAGCCACATGGGAAAGAGATGTAATATGAGGAGAGTTCGGAAAACATACAATTAAAAAAAAAAGTATTAAAAATAAATACATATTTAATGTAGAATTACAAGCTTTGCTTTTGTTGTTAGTATCTCTGACAAGGAGAGACCCCTAATGTATTCATAGCCTTGTGCTCACAGTTACCTTGTATTCATCTACTCTCGGTCTTTCATGTGGGTTTTCTTTTTTGCATATGATTTTTTATTTCCTTTCAGACTTCCATGAAGTTTGCCCTGCAGCTACAATATCAGAGGGACTGTGCCTTTACTTTGTTGTTTTCAATTTTGTTCCTTATTAAAAGGCAAATCCAAGAGTATTGCAAAGCATGAATTTTGCTTTCAAATTATTGTTTGAAATGTTTCTTGCTCTTTCTCAGTACGGTGCTGTTGTCATGTGCATTAACCATTTCAAACGATGGTACAACTTTATATCACTATAACGTCTCTGAATTGCTTGGTGTATCTGTGCAAAATAATAAATCTAAGAACACTGAGCAAATGTCCTAGGCTTATTTGATTTGATTCTAGTAGGTTGGTTTTTGGTGTGAAACAGCACAGTGTACTGAAGCAAATACCTGGAGGCTGTGCTGATGGTAGTAGAGCAAAGTGACATGAGATGAATGAGAGCAAATATTCAAGTGTGCCTATGTGCCACTGCATAGGTACTACTGTTGGGGGCGAATAAGTGTGTAGGTTGATTATAAATACACAGGCATAAATATTTATACAAATCACGAGAGAATGAGAAGGGTCTTGACCTGTAGTGTCATTTTGGAAGAAAGTAAGACAAATTTCGCTGACAGGCTGTATCGTATTATAGAGCCATTTGGAGGTTTGGGCAATAGCTAATTTTCCCAGTAGAGGTGAATGAATGGGAAGGCTTCAGGTGAGATAAATGCAATTTATCAGATTGAGTAACAGCTTAGTAGATGCATACTCCTGACTGTATGCTTCACCTGTGTGTACGTAGCGCCAGGGCCAAGAAAAACAATCGTAATCTTGACTTCCAAATTCTGCCTTACCACTGTCCTGCACTCAGTCATCTGTGCCTGAGTTAAGAATACATGGTATGCCATTTGTGGTAATATATAATATAAATAGGACAAACTCATCTGTTTATAAAATCAGTGTAAATTTTCTTTTTGATTCTTGTGGTGTCATGTGCCTGATAAGCAGAACGATACAAATAAGACAGGCTTTGTTTTCTGAGTCTGCATAAAAAGGGTATTAATTTGCATTGAATATTGTAGTTTTGTGAGTTTGGATTTATGCATCGTCATTCACTGCTGACCATTTTAATTAGAAAGATACTTGAAATGTATATATGTGATACTCATCATTGTGTACAGTTTGGAGTGTTGGCAGATTTAAAACATAAATATTATGGTAGGAGGGCTGTATACAGGATGAAAGAGGTAAATTGTGGATTCAGTGTTGAAAAATGAGAGTAAAAGGAAAAGGGAAGCAATGTTAATTACTGCATAAGTGTTTTTAAATGTTTACTTTTTAAAATGCATCGCAAAACAGAAAGAGATCAAAACCTTTGAAGGTATTACCAGACTGAAAAGAGAGCCCAACATATTTTTGTTACTTATTCCAGAATATGAGACATCTTTGCAAACATTTCAGAAATAAGGCCATGAACAGACTGGCAAGCCATAAAGTCACTTACATTTAAAAGAAGCAACTTTTGCAGAATGCCTTGAAAGTGGGGAAAAGAACAGAAAATAATCCTTTCCATTTATAATGTAGCAAGTCCAATAAAGTAATGAGGAAGCTGCTCTTTTAGTAGACTATATACAGAAAAAAAACCCACCTGCTTTGTCTCAAATAGCACCTTGTGACATGCAAGTATGTGACCACCATGTGTTCACTGTTGGGACTCTTAAGTGTTTCTTAAAATGAAGCTGTCACATTGAGAAAAAGACCAACACATGCAGTCAGGGGACTGCAGGAAGGCAAAATGTGGATCAGAGCCCTGGTTTACAGAGTATATTGATAATCAATTTAGAGATGTGGATTCATTCCCCTCTGGGGGGAAAAAAGGAAGTGCAGGAAGCAGCTCAGGCTGATGGAATCAGTGACTGCATGGTCACAGTCCCTGTGAAGCCAGATCACATCCCTCTTCTCTACTGTGAGTGCTAAAGGGATTTCTTCCTAATCTCTTCATGCCAAAAGAATTGTGGTCAAAGAACATAAAGGGTGATAGAAAGCTTCCCAGAAAATTCTCTTCTCCTAAAACATGAGAATTTAGAAGCCAAAAGCATTGTTATTTTCCTCAAGAAATGGCAGTTCCTTTTCACTGTCATTTTAAATCCTTAAGAGCGCATTTTGCTGAGTTTGGCTGGTCAGTTGGGTTACGTTTCCTCTGGGAACTGTGATGTTGCTGCTGAGACAGAGGTACCAGAGAGTCACAGGAACAGATAATCCTCCGTCTCTTTTTCAGCTGTACGCCAGGGTGCTGCCTGTGAGGAAGAGCTTTTGGAGGGTTGCGGAGGTTACTGCCCCTATAGTGAGGCCCCTGATGGTAACCTTGTTCTGGGTCCTCACCCTGCCCGCATTTCCTGCTAACATTAACATGGACTGGACTCCAGGGCAGCAGGACCAGCGTGCAGAGCAGGAGCACTCCCACCTGCCGTAGCTAAATCCTGTACACACCGCATGTGAGGGTCTATACCCTTTGGTTTTTTTCTCTCAGGGCTGCCCTGCCCACTCCAAGTTTTGGGGCAATGGCCAGGCTGTTCTGAGGGAGCAGCTTCTGAGAGCCCTGCCTTCCCCACCACCCCCTCGGTGCAGAAATTTGGCACTAATTGAAATATAAAGGCAAAGTGGTTAGTGCTTTAAAACCTTATTTCTCCATCAGGACTGTTGTGGTTTCACCCCAGCCAGCAGCTAGGACCACACAGCTGCTCTCATAGCTCTCCCCCTTCCTCCAGAAAGGCAGGGAGAAGAGGGAGAAAAGGAGGGGAAAGGGAAAACGAAAAAAGCCCTCATGGGTTGAGATAAAGACTGCTTGATAGAAACAATAGCAAAAAAGGAAAATAATAATAATAATAGTAATAATAACAGTGACATAAGTCACCCTCACTGCCCGGTGAATTGGCACTGTCCCAAGCAGTGATCGTGAGTACCCACCTCCCAGCTAACCCCATTTGTATACTGAGCATGATGTCCATGGTATGGAACATTCCATTGACCATTCCATCATTCTGTCTAGACTCCTTCTCAGCTTCTATGGGAAGCCAGAAAACATCCTTGAAAAAATATGAACATCACCTGGCAACAACTAAAGCAATATGCGTTATTGACATTTCTTTCATACCAAATCTGAAACACAACAACCACTAGAAAGAAAATTAACTCTGAGATGAAACCAGGACACTCACATACTCGGTGCCTTAAATATCCTCTTTTGATCCAATAGGCACATATAAAACAAGTTGTTTATGAAGTCGAGGCAAAATTTCTCACTGTAATATTTTGGAGCAAAAATCCACATTAATATGAGTAGGTTAATGTGTGTTGTCACCGTATGGGAGTAACACCTTCCTGCTTTACTCAGCCTGCCTTCTTGGGTTTCTCAGGGTGGCAAACGCAACACTGTAAACACTTGTCTGTTGGATAGCTTCAGCAGCATACGTGTTTTAGGAAATACATTGACAGCTCCTTCTTCTTCCTCTGCAGCCTGTAACTGTCACATCAACGGCTCCTTCTCAGAGATCTGTGACTCTCGGACAGGCCAGTGTGAGTGTAAAGCCAATGTGATTGGGCGCCGGTGCGACGTCTGCCAGGTGAATCACAAGAAATGCTACTTTCTTTCAGTTTTCTTCCTTGTTTCTCATGACTAAATACAGTTTTGGTTTGGATAATTTTCTTTTTTGCTCATTTTTCACTTAAAGAACATATATGGGTTGTTCTTAAGCATAGAATGGTAAAATGGCTTTGTTTTTAAGGGTTTTCCAAAGGTTTTCTACAACAAAGCACAGAATATTGCATGCAAATACGTAGTTAAGCCTCACTGCACATACATTTTTATATGTGGTATGTACACTTTATATTCTGAATGCTTGTTATAAATAAATTAGTTAAAAGTATTGCAGCTCTAGAGGAAAATCCCTCTCATGAAGAGAGCTGCAAAAAATCTATTAGTATCTGATTTTCAAAAAAAGCAGGATGCTAGTTTACTTCTGCTGTGAATGTTCTGCTTTTAGATTTTTTTCTTAGGGGTACTTCTTGTATTGTCCAAATAATGCATTCTTTTTTCGTGAAAGTGTCTTTTCCCTTGATGTTGTTTTGCTGCCTCATAAATCACTGCAAAAAGCAGTGTTTCATGAACTTCTGCAGAATTTTCTTTGAGCTGCTAAGGAATTATGTTATAGCTGGCTGGGCATTTCTCTAGCTCAGCGCAAGGACTTGTGGGTTAGGCCTGTGTTCTCAGAACACCTCTACATATGTGTAATTTAAAGTACATAAATCTGCAGAAATTACAAAGATCATTTTCACCCTATGTAAACTGCATAATTTCTGAAGAGGTGTGCTCACACTGTATTTTCAACAGTATTTAAAGAGTCCATTCAAAGAAAAATCGTTGGTATAAATGGAGTTTGCATGGATTGCATAACGTAAACAGAAAATATGTCAAGCTTGTTGATACAATATGGTCATTGGTGGGACTAATCTTTGTTTACTACTGTGTTTACTACTACCCTTATTCCTGTACTCTTTTATTTGCTGTAGTTTAATTATCTTCACTTTCTAACAGTGTTTACTTTTCATTCTTGAAGCCCAGCTACTTCTGGGCCCCAGAAAAGCTGTTTTGTATACCCTGTGGCTGCAGTGCTTTAGGATCCATATCACTGCAATGTGATATGTCAGGAAGATGCATCTGCAAATCAGGATTCATGGGCAGACGCTGTGAAATCAGCAGGCAGGTGCCTAAAATGAAAGAAAATGCACGAAGGAGTCAGCAGATCCGAGTCCCCCCTCGGAGATGGGGCGTCAGCAGTGCCAGTGGGTGCCCACGGGGCGCTTACCGGCCTGCTACTTCGGTAATCGGAAACTGTGTGCATTGCATGGGCTGAAATCTCATGTTCGCTTGTGTTTGGAGTTCCTGCAGACTTTTTTTTTTTTTTTTTTAATTTGTAATATGTGTGTTATGATCTATGAAATTATCAAGAAACACACAGGCTCAGAAGATAAGCAGCCTTTTAGGGTACTTCCCCATTCTGGGCTTCTTATAGTGCGAATCACAATGCAGGCCAGAAGGGAAATAGCAGAATAAGTCCAGAAGCAGCAGCATCAACAGCAATATGCACAAAATGTATGGGTGATGTACATACATCAATGGAATCAGTGGGATTTTTATGG